CATAGAAGAACTGCCGGGGAGATGAAAATCCCCAAAATCAACCTACTGTTTTGTTTTCCGTTTTTTTTTTTCTTCTTTTTCCGTTTTCGATGTGAGAAATCTCAGAGATGGTAAAAACGACGTCATTCGTCATGGTGGTGGTTGGTAAGGGGTAGTGGCGTGGCGACGGCGGTGGAAGGCAGGTCGGGAAATTGTAAAAAAGTAATATATATAATATATATTATTCTATCTAAGTCTTGGCCTTTTTTTGTTTGGCCAAAAGTTTGCCGAAATCCTCCCCCACTTGTTTCGGATTTATTATTTTCGAAGTCAATAGTGTTTATTTTATTTGTCTAAATAATATTTTTTTAGTAATGTCTGAATTAATCATTGAATATGAAATAATATTAGTTTTTTACTTTATCTAGTATTTTTTATTCTACTGTTCTCTCTTTCCTCATATTAAATACATTGGTCAGACGCAGTATTTATTCACTGCTCATAATAAAAACTATTTGATTGTCAATTTATTATTAAAAATTATTTTAACAACTGTCTTTTTTTTGCTGATAATTATTTTAACAACTGTCATCTAAAAGCCAACAGCTTAAGATAAAATGACTGGACTATTTCGAAAAAACATGTTGATCTTATAACAATAACACTTGTCAAAAAGAAAAAAAGAAAAACAATAACAAAAAATGACAAAACAAAAACAATTTGGACAGGGCACCCTTAAATAACAATTTTCATGTTTTTTTTTCCGGTTAATTAATGTGTATGGTGAATGATTAAAATTTCGACGAAAATAAATGTAAAAATGGTTTGATTCTCTAAGTTTTGATAAATAAAGACTCCCATATAATCTCTTGAATTTCGAAAATTTTACAAACACCCAAATGAAAAGATAAAAATAGGAGGGGATATTATTTAATTTTAAAAATAATAAATGAGTTTGAGCTTGCATTCAATATAGGCAAATAAAATGGAATTATTCAATCGTTAGTAGAGAGAGAAAATGAAAGGGTGTGGGTTGGTGGGGTAGGTGAGAGAGAGGGGTAGGTGTGTGACGTGCACGTGACTTTGGTAAACTGTGTGGTAGGTGAAGAGGTAACGTGGCGATTGTTGAGTCATCAACTAAACGACGACGTAGCCCCCACTAGTTTCTACTAAGTAATAACCAATACCCATTTGTCGGCAGTTCCTTTTTATTATTATTATTTTTTAAATTATGTTTAATTTCTTGGTATTTTTTAAATATCACGATATAAAAATATATATAAATATTTCTCACTCTCGATTTTCTTGCTAAACTTTAAAAAACAAAAACAAAAACTTAATTTTTTTAAAAAATTTCATTTGAGTTAAATTATGAAAGTTTAGTTGATAGGAAGGCAATTGAGTATATATAATTGAAAATAGCGATGGTAAGCTTAATTTATAAAAATAATGTGGTTATCAAAATGAAATTTTCGTCATATAAAATTAAAATGTCAAGATTAAATCAGACAAACATCTAGTTTGTTACTTTTTTACCTGTTCTTTTTTTTTAGTCCAGCATATGGGATGTCTTAACCATTCGAGCGATGTTCGGTTTGACTATTTTTTTACCTATTTGATACAAATTTAAAGTTTGGAGACATATTATAATGTGTTCTTTTTGGTCAATTTTAGAGATTTATTGTTTTGAACTAATCCAATTTAAGGTTAAATTTGTAATTTAACCTTTGTTAAATGATACAGTACCTAAACTTTTAGGTTTATATTTATTTAGTATACAAATTAATTTTCCAATTATGCTTTTACGCATCATTTTATTTATAATAATTTATTGTTGAAACGAGGTATTTACATGACATAATATATTTTTAAATATGACATAAAATCTAAGATTAACAAAAATGTTAGAATAACATAAAACACACCAAAAGAAAAACTTATACCAATTTGAAAAAAACAAATATTTATAAAAGATAAATATAAATTTATGCAAGCAACCAGCATTAGCTTAGTTCAGCGATATCAACATCTAATTTCAACTATGAGAGTGTGAGTTCAAATCTTCTACTATTTTGTTATACTAAAAAACATTTATGCAATCAAATTGGATTATAAACTTATTTGGATTGAGTTGATTTGAAGTTATTCTACCTCTCAAAACCAACTATTTTAATTTTCTAAACCATATAAATAAACATTGACTTGGAGATCTTGATTAAATGGCTAGAAAATATATAAATAAATGTTTAAGATATTATCATTTATCTTTTTTTTTTGTTATACAATACTTCGAATAGCTGTTTGAAAGGTTGAACTATTCAAGAATCTCCGAATCTACGCTTATTTTCAACTCGTGACATGAATTATCCAAACCAACCCAATCCAAATATTTGATGGTTGAGTTGGGTTGGATTTATTCATTAATAAGTGTTATTTAGGTTAAATAAATTTACAACTAATTGGGTCTAAAAAGTACATGAACTCAACCCATTTACACCTCTAAATGCTACATTTAATTTTTCAAAGATATAAATTTTTAAATGAATTTTGTTTAAAGTTCAATGGTGCACCATTTAAAAGTTATCAATATATCAAATTATTAGTTAACTTAGCGTGATAATTGATAAGGTACTTATATCTTTAATGTTATAGTCCAATCCCCTAGCTCAGCATGGCTTGTTATGGGGTGATCGAATAAGTCGGAGTGGGCCTTCTTGAATTTAGGGCCCAATAATAACGGCTTCTAAATGACACCATTATTATGGGTCTTCGTTTAAACATGGGCCAGGCCCATTTTCTTTTTTCTTGTTTTAATTAAAATTACAAAACTAAAACACACTATTAAAAGAAGAAAAATAAAAATAAAAGACAACATTAAATATAAGTTTAAAAGCACATTATTCCTTATTCTATGTTTAGCTTATTTTATTATTCTTTATATTGATGTTATCGTTCAATACGTCGTAGTCAACAATAAAATAATTTCAAATTAGAAATAAATAAAAGCGTACATATTTTTTATATTGATATATGTGAGTTCAAGTTCAACTAATCTCATGAGACCATTGTCTGATCCTATTACATAGGTTAGATATAATATTTTTTAGTAGAATAAATTGGGGAGGGAGGTTTCAACCTCCGACTTTAAATAAACTAGTAGGTGTCCATTTTTAAAAGAGATTTCTAAAATCCGACTTTGTTTTTAAATATAATAGATGAGAGTGAAAATTCGAATTTACGATATTTTTATTGGAGATAAATGTTGTACCAAGTCTATTATTCTGTTACACGTTCCTTGTCTCAATATACGGAAAACTAAAAGCAAAGCCAGCGAACATTTGAATAAATTTACCTTTTAAATAAATAACTATATTTTATAATCAATTCTCGACAATGATGGGAGATTGATTTAAAGAATACTTGCATAAAACATGAATAATGTATTATGATGATAGATGATTTTTTTATTTATTTAATATTTAATATGGATACTTTTGCCGTGGATAAGATAAGAATGACCAAAGTCACCCCGAGTCGCATCTTGGCTCCGATTTATTTTTCAAATTCGAATTCCATATTTACCTATACAATTAATGAAATATTTTTGAAAACAAATAACAAACAAAACACTTGAAGACATTTAAAAATATAATAAAAAGTTTTTTGCGAATTACCTCAACTCATTCGTCCACTCAAATGACAATTGCGACATATGTGTTAGGAGATGTCTTGAATTCAACACATTTTTTACAAGCTTTTTATTATAAATTTAATTTTTACGCCAAAATGAGTATAGTTTAGTGATAATTGACATATATCTCAAAATAATAAATTGTGAGTTCGATCCCCTCTTTTTATTTAAAAAACTAACTAAGCGAGACAATGCAAAAACAATTTGGTAAAGTATTTTTGATGTTTCCAACAACTATTTCAATTTTTAAAAACAGCAACATATAATATTATTTTAAAATTGTATTATTTTATGTAGTTGTTAATATTTGATTAATAAAATGATATACGATATTGCAAAATTTCCTCATAGGAGTTTCGAATTATCTAAATTAGGAAAATGGACGGAGATAAAATGAGTTGAGAGCAATTGTATTAATTTTGAAAAACGAGTATTTTTATGTAACACGTGTCTACGTGTTGAGGTAAAACGGAATAGAGAAAATACACATTTTAAGTGGGCCCGGCGCCATTGGTTGCTTACGTGACAGGCGTTTGATTTATCCACCCACGCACTTTTTTTTCTTTTCTTTTTTTGAAAAAAATACTTATCCACTTGCACTCGAACAATCAATGAAAATTTAGCATTATGATTAAGACAAATTATTGAAAGAGACCGCCATAATGTGTTTGATAACTTTATAACGTTAGATACATACGAGAGGAATCGTAAAAAATATTTCGAATAGTAATTAAATGCATAAATCAATCATATTTTCGCCGAGTGACTTCTACAATTTATGGATAATTAGTCTACAAATTGTTGGTCTAACTCTTATAATACATATCTCTTATTTGTTTTTTTTTTAATATCATATTTTGACGCTCCGTTTAATTCTTCTGCTTCCCCTCATAATCTTTTGGTTTCTTTTTGAAAGCTCTATTTACTGATTAACATTTAATCCTATTTGTTGCAAGTACGACTTTCGACAACATATTTAAGGAATTAATTTTATTTTACATTAGTTTTATGTTGTGATTTACGTTTTACATATACTTTCAAATTATAGGTTAAGTTTTGAAAAAACAATCATAATTTATATATATTAATTTCAAGCTCTCAATGAACTCAATTTTTAAGGATTCTGAATTTTAAATTTGTAATTTAATTTAAAATAACTAATAATTAAACGAGAAACTAATTTTGAAAAATATGAAGACAAATAACAGAACTTTGATCAAGGATTGAGGTCTTATTATATAAAGAAAACTATTTTTTGATAAACGACTTAGAAAAAGAAAAACTTTTTTAGTTTAAAAAAGAGGTATATATTCGAAGGCATGCTCGGCTTGGCTTCCCACGCTTACCATTGGCTTCTCTTCCTCTCTCTAAAAACTTTTTAGGTTCTTTTGTAATCTTCACGAAGCTCTGTAATCATGCTCTTCGAAGAAGGAGAAGAAGCGGCCGATCGAAACCTGTATCCTTGCGAAACTCCAAGCATGGATTCAAATCTGCTCTGTAAACGTTCGAATCAGGTAGGCCATACTCGCCTCGGTTATTGTATTCCTCGTGAATGTTCTAAAGCTCAAATGTGCCTTCAAAAGATTCTGCATATAATTTCGTCTGTTCCTCGCCAAGAATCATGCGCGGATTCTCAAATTGGAAAATTAGAGTTCGATGGAAATGTAAGCGGTGATGCTGGAGGGTTCTGTCCCGATTTCAATCCGAGAGTCGGCGCGTCTGCGGAGGAAGAAGACCAAGAATCGGTGGCTCTCGTGGAGAATGAAGGAGGCGGCGGGAACGGTTTGGTAGACGTCGTGTCTGTTGGTGGTTCAGTGACGGAGAAATGCTTGGACGGCGACGGTGAGAACGCGAAATTCTCTGAATCTCCTGCGACTGCGACTGAAACTGACAAATACGAAGTCGAAGAACACATGGAGAAAACTCTAGAACATTCTAACATCGCCGAATTTCACATTCAAAGAGGCGATGACAGAATCGGCAGATTCGATGAAAACGAAAGCGAAAAGACAGCCGAAGAAGAAGGTAAAAAGGAAAAGCTCACGGGGAGTTCCGATGGTGGAAGCGACGATGGCATAGTCGAAACGGCGCCGTTTAGAGGAGCGAAATGKAAGAGCGGCGGCGATTGTCTAGGTTTGCTGATCGAAGCGGCGAGACTGATACTGGGAGACTTCGGCGAGAACGAGTTCGAGACAGAGTCAACTCACGAGGRCCACGAGTCAAACAGCGAGTTAGATGCCAAAGAACCGAGTCAACTCGAGCAGGTAATTTCAGAGTCGCATTCTTCAAGCGGATCAAAGAGGAAGCTCGAAGGAAATTGGATGGTAATGAATTTAGTAAGAGATATTGACGACAGGTCGCCATTAGTCAGGTCAAAGCGAGGAAGAAGCCAGGTCTTACCGTGTCGTTACAAGGACTCAGTTCTTGAGCCATGGCGATCTCAGTCATTGCCGAGCAAGGTCAAGGTCTCGAGGAGACAACGTAGATCGAGGTACCGCACGTAGATCGGTAAACATTGAAAATCTTTTACATCTTGATTGTTACAGCAACATAAAGAAAACGATTAGCAACAAATAATTTGCTATTTAACCAGAACCMACCAACTAATTAGAAAGTAAAGCTTTAATCAGCAAAGTGTTTTTTTTTGTTTGGTGTTTTTCTGAAATTGGTTCTGRAAATGTGGCAGAAGCTGAAACCGCAGAGGACACGAGAAGACTGAGAGAGAATCCACCATTAATGGCGACTGTACAGAGTAAGGTTAGAGCGCAGAGCTGATTACAGAAGGTGGGTTTGGTTTTACTTTTAATAAAGTCATTCTCAATTTTCCATATATATATATTTGTTTCCTTTTCGTCTCATTTTGGGAAGAAGATGGAGATAATGATGAGTGGTAGCGTTTTAAAAAGCCAAAGTTGCCTTCCTTCATGCTCTTCAATTCCTAGGAAAAATAAAGAGTTAACTAATATCTTTCGCTAAGGTCAAAGTGGCTTCATAAAATTTTAATCCTTAACATAGAACATGGAACAACTGTTAACCTTTTAATGAATAAGCTAGCTCAGAATCGTGAAGCCAAGCTGGAAAAGAATTTCAAGTATCGAGCATTCCTTGGTAGTTAGTACCAATATATATATATTTTTTCTTTTAATACGTAGTCACGAGTTTTAGGGAGATGGTGTTTTATGTTTTGTGCTGTGTTCTACACGTGTGTTTGCTTGAATTTATAAATTTGTTCATCCTATAGACAATACAAATCTATGTTTTATGGTTTAGTGTTGGAACATTTATGTATCTTCGTCTACTTTGTATTTGTATTTGTATGTTTCTGTAGATCACCAATCAAATGGTGTAATATATGGATATGCACATAGCTCAACTAATTATGGTATGTATCATCAATTCAAGAAGAGGTTCCTACCAAGGAAGTTTGAAGTTTAAATTTGACTAAAAAGATAAATAGGGTTGAAAATAAGTGTTATTGTGGAAAGAAGAGATTAAGAAATGGAATTGAAGAGTTGGTGGAGTGGAGATACATGGGGTGGGCGGTGTCCCCGTGGTTTTGCCCGTTTGTCTGTTTTCGCGGAATTCCGAAGGTGGAAGCTGGTGGGTTGGGTACATCATCCAATCACTACCCTATCTCAGTTTTCCAACTGTCGGTTTAAAATTCCATTTTCATCATTAATTTCCCTTCTCTTTTTCTTTTAATATTAATTTAGGTTAAAATACCATTTTTTTCTAAGTAAATTTACTCTYTGAACTTTCACATCAGTGTTGGGCTTAGTTTTGTGCTAGACTTAATTTTGTTGAAATTAATTTTAAGAAATTTTTACTTCGTTTTCCTTGTAAAAATTTTAAGAAATTTTAAGAAGAATATATATTAAGGTAAATTCGCTTGTGTGCAAGTAAGTGATTTTTTTTTTTTTTTTTGGGATAAAGTAAATTGCGGTTTGTATTATGATGAATAAATAAATAAAATGAAAACTCMAAATCTTTATGCGGCTGAAAGCTGTGTACCTCTCTTGTCTCTACTGACACATGACTTTATCTGCCCTTGCCCTGGTGTGACTTGTGCGGTACCACTACCAGAAATATGGAGAAACTCAATTGTAAAAGAAAGTACATCCTTTTCAAATAATATTTTGTTTTTACTTTTTTTTTATATCAACAATTTACTTTTGGATTTAATGTTCATTTATTGGTTAAATTACAAAATTACACTTTAGACCAAGTTTGAATTTGGTGGCTATAGTTTTTAAAAGTTCCAATTTAGTTCTCATGGACAAAGTTTCAATTTAGTTATCATGATTTGGACTTAGTTTCTATTTAATCATAGGGTTTGACTTTAGTTTCAAAAGTTTTGATTTGATCTTTGTGGTTTAATCAAATTTCACAAATACTTTATCATATTGATAACTTTATTTTTAAATTTATAATTTTTATTTTGTTAACTATGTTAGTTGAGTATATTTAAGGTTTAGAGCTTGGTAAGAAAAATAATATATTTTTCGGGTGGATAAAATACAATTTAGGGATAAGTTCTAAGCGTAATWGATTAAATTGAAATGTTTAAGACCACAGGGATAAAAGACCAAAGAGAAGATAAAGTCGAAATTATGAAGATTGAATTGAAACTTTTATCACCGGCATACTAATTTTATAATTTAACCTTGTTGATTTGTTTGAATGGTAATATTTAAAAACCAATATAAAGTTAACAAGTGCTGTTTAACCTTTGAACTTTGGTATTGATTTGGACAAATATTTTGTTTTAATAAATAAATATTATAAAGCAAATTTTTTCCAATGGAATAATAGTGGAATTAGTCTTAAAACATGTTTAAAAAACACAAAATGTCTTTAAAACAATAGTTTTTAGATTTTGTTTAAAAGAAAACTATTGAAAATTAATCAAATAAATTATTATCTTATATTGAAAAAGACACGATAACAAAGATTCTTAGAAGTTCCTATCATAGACAAATTGACACAAAATTCAATGTTATATCAGCATACTTGTTTGTTTGTATATCTAAGAGAAATTTTAATTATCAATTGACATGGAAAAATAAATTAAACAAATAATTCACTTTTCAGGAAAGAAAAAATGGAAAAAGTGAAAAGAAAAATTAACCGAATTACTACAAATTTCAAATAGATATTATTCAAAATTGTCATCCTCAATAGATATTATTGGTTAAAGACGGTCATTCTCAATAGGAAAAAAATCTAAAAAATAATAATAAGAGATAATTATAAAATACAATTTTCTTTTACAAAAAAAAAAATAAATGACCAATTTATAATAAATAATTAATTTACCATAGCTCAAATTTAGGAYAGTTCCATAAATATATTACACACTAAAATATTGCAACTTTATCTTTAATAAATAATTGTTCTGAATTTCTTGGAGGTATTTGAATGTAAAAGCAGCTGTTATTTAAATATATATAATAAATTATCAAAATAACCTCCGAACAATGACGAGTCCCTCCACCTTCAAATTTATCAGGCCTTCTTCTATTATCTTAGATATACTTTATTATTCATGGTTAAGAATGGGACGTATTTAATAATATCTTTTATATAATGTCCATTGTTGAAACTATATCTTAAAAAAAAAGGTTTTAAATTCTTACATATCCATAATAAATGACTTATTTCCACTAATCCTCTTTGCATTTGAATATAAAATAATTTAACTATTAATATTTAAAAAAAATACAAAGAATAACAAAATAGGAACCCGCCAACGAAACAATGGCAGGCCCAGATCCTCAACCTTGGAATTCGGAGAAGATCATCTTCAAAATCATTGCGGTGAGTTCGAGTTTGATGCATCTGGTTTTTGCTTCTGATCTTCGTTTTTGTTTGCCCTTGCTTTTACTGATGCGTGGGTTGGCTTGTGCAACCTCTCCATCAGTCGTTTTGGGGTTCGCGTTCTTCGATCAAATCCTCTCACACAAATGAATCCTACAAAAACACATAAATCCAGCACCCAATACATAAAACAGATAATTAACAAACAAACAAGATTTCTGCTGCTAGATATCTGGTTTTGAAAAACACGTCAAATTCTGAATCTCCACTAACAGAACTGCCATTTGATCTGAGAATAATGGGAGGAATGCTTTAGCTCCGGTGATTTTTATGACAGTAAAAGAATGTTTTGGTCACGGTTATAATGAGCACAAGTTAGTGTTGATTCTGTTTGGATTATAAGAACTTGTATTTGTATAATCTATATTAGCTGATGAGTTTTGTATAAAAAGTAGGTTTCATTCGCCTGGAATTGGTAAATCCATATACCAAATCCTCCAAAGAGTATTTTCAATACACTTTGTTACTGCACTATGTTTATAATTAGGTCTGTTCCTCGTTGTCATGGGTTTTGTTTCTCTGTTTTTCTTCTTCTTTTTTTTCTTGTTATTTTTATTGGTAGTGAGTTGTTCACTTGATATTATATTTAATTGACTAAATCAACCGAAAGGTGCAGAGAATTTTCTTGTGACAAGTGTCAAGTCTGTTTTGGGAGTTTCGATTCTTCGAAAACTCAACTTTGAAAGATCAAGACTCACAAAACATTCTCCTGGATGTTATAATAAGATTTTATCTAATACTATCATATTAGTTAAGTTGCATTTTCTTCTTTTTTGGGTTCAACATGGTATGCTGGTTTTTTCACTATTATGTGGGGCCTTTGGCATAAGAGGAATAGTAAGATTGTTAGAAGGGTTGAGAGGTCTTAGAAGAAGTTTGTCTCGGGCGTTGGTCTCAAAGGATTTTTGTAATTATATTTTTGGCTATATTCTTATAGGTTGGGGCCCTTTTTGGTATAGTTAGTCCAAGTTCTGATTTGGCTTTTATTTTTTTTGGATTTTTTTTAATGCCTTTTTGTATTCTTTTATTTTTCTGTATGAAAATTTGGTTTTCTATAAATACAAAATGTTCATCTTTGAAAAACCGTGTTAAAGTTCTTTAAGATGATCTTTTGCTACTAACTACTATTATTAGAAGTGTCTGCAAATATCCCTTTCAAATTACTTACCTAGTATGATATGTTAGTATGATATGTTCAAATTGGGAGGCATTTATAACTCCCCTTGAGCTTTAGAGGGTTTGTTATTTATTTTCACTCCTTTTGGAGTTTGTATAACAATCATTTTCATTAATCAATTTATCTTGTTAAAAAAAAAAAGTGTCTGCAATATATGCGTTAAAATTACAATGGTTTTTTCCTTTAAACAAGAAAGAAAACTTTCATTTGTGGATTGGAGCTAAGTTACTTCATACCTTTCTGGAAGCAGTACTGAATATCCTCCTTCGCCAAGCCTGTAATAACACGTATTAGATTATTTTCCATTGGAACTTTAATGAATCAATCATATGTTAATTTACCTCTAAAAATTGTTGTTGTAGAGGTTCCAAAATATGTGATTCTCCTAGGTAGATCCCATATCCATTCCCTAGGAACATGAATGGGGTTTTTACTTGATTCATCATCAGCAAAAACCTGTGCATTTGAATTCAATATGTTTAGTTGCAATGCTATCGCTCGTGGAACAGTTCCGACATTAAATCCTGACTAACCTCATTGACTTGAAAATATGTGCCGTTTAATGGAAAATTTCCCCTCATGGCTGTTCTACAGGGTATCTGGAAGTAAAATTGGTTTATATATCGGCCATTTTGCAAAGCAGTCAAATAACAACTTGGAAGTTTGGCTTTTCACTTACCAAAATTGTTCCACGGACCATTCCACTGTTTCGTTCCCTGACAGTGTTGCATGAAGAACATGATCCCTCACTACAAAGTTCTCCCAATTCCTTGTACGTGCATCTTGTATTGGGYGGCTCAGATGAATTTATAGTTTCACCTGAAAACATCAATTACACCTTGAACCGTGGATCTTCCTTACTATTGGAAGTGGGATTTATATCTCATAATATTGACGCATTGATATTTGATATTCTATATTACTTTCAATTATTATTATTTTTGTAATGAAAAAAAAAACATTGTGCAGCAAGCTGTACCTGGTGACAGTATGCACAAAAGATACGGGCATGGATCGTTTGGCTCTCGTCTTTCTAGCTGTAAAGACATGGTCAGAAACAAACTTCTACACAAGTATATAGGCAATGATTCCCCAGGTCAAGAGGTCAAGTATTTACCTCAAATAGGAGAGGATGTGTATCTGGAAGTTCATAGCTACACATAGGAAAATACATTACATCTACCATAAAGCATTATGTGGGTTGCAATTAGTTTCTTTATAATATGTGTTTTAGACCTAGTGAATCTGTACGTAAACTAATACTCCATAATAGACCAAGTGAAGGACTAGGGAATAAGTAGGTAGACAATATTTAAAATTTTATCAAAGGCTAATGTGGGCTTTAAGTGACATTTTATAACTCTTGTACAGTGACTTCACCCATTTACAGGTGGCACTTAACTCAACTTTCAGCAATCTGTTTTGTTAGTTATTGAAATAAACAGAGGTTTTTTTTTTTTTTTGCCAAGATGTACAAGCTAAAAAAGGCATACTTACGCTTGATGCTCTGTCCTCAAGCGATCTATATGCTTCAGTTTGGGCATCGGGATGGAAGCAACTCTGGTGTGCACAGGAACCAAAGCTCTGGTAGTGTTATCTTCCATGCAGTTCTGTGAAGTTGTTGTGAACCGTCCAGAGCTAAGTCTGATTGTAGGAACGTCATCAGAGTCATACTCACATAAATCTTCAATGTCTGTCAATTGTGATTCGTCAT